AGAGAGAGAGAGATCTGCTTGCAAGATTCCTTAACAGACATTATTGAAGCTCCTCTCCTTCCAATAACACGACCCATCTTTCCGGGTGGAACATCAAGAACACAGAGGATTTCCTCCTCTGGAGCATTTTCCGCTGCTGATATGTCATCTACAAGTGAAGTACTCTGAAATCCTCGAGTCAAGGCTCTTGTTTTAGCATTCAAAGTACAAAACTCTTTTGACATTCTCATGTTAACTCGTTTTTATAATACTATGCCACCTGCAAGTGATGCATCCCGAATCATTAACAACAAAATCTGACGATTATTTTCACGTTGAAAAATAAAATATTAGCATTAAAAACTGAATCATAAGATGGCATATCCACAAGCAAAGCAATTTCCACAAGCCCAGTTAAAAGGTGGCACCTTATCTCAACAAAGACATGGTACTAAGCTAAAGCAACATCTCTATATTGCACATTTGCACCTTAAAAAAATTTGGAACTTAAATTTGATGCAACCATGCAGTGTAGAAAGCAACATCACTTGAAGAAGACATTAATGGCCCTGAAAATAGTGGTATTGATTTATGCCAGCCACGTTAAGCAACCATTATACTATCCAAGTTAAGTTCGCTGAGCTCTGAAAAAGCACCTCAGGAAGTCATTCACTGGAAATCTCCACCCATATGTAGGATCTAAATTGTCATTGATGTCTGCTCCAATTTGAAAACGGGAAAAAAAGTTGCACGAACCTTCTATCTTTTGAACAATTCCCCATCTCAATCCTAATTCAGAGCATATTAAATACCAGCAGAAACCCTCGAATGACTTAGAAGGATGGGGTGACAAAGTCAACAAGTGCAAGCACTAGTTCCCCACACGATGCATCTAGCAGTTACCAAAAAATACAGAATAAACAAAAGCTAGTCCAAAAAATTTTATCTGTAATTTTTAAACCTGGAATCAGAGGCAAAGATGGCCAATGAGCATAATTATTGTCATTGATACAAAAACATCAACAATAAAGAGCACTGCCAACTGCCAGATACCACAAGGATTGTGCATTCAGTTTCTCCATCATCTTGCGATAGATGTAAACAAGAAATCGAACATCATCTGCAGCTGCACGTATCATCATTTCAGAAAATGGTCTGTATGTCCAGAACTTTGGGTCCTGTAAATGAAACACGCATATTAGTGAAAGGCAAAAGAATATTTTGCACTGGGCACACCGTGCGGCTACGTAAAAAGTGCACATTAGTGGTCACGAGCATAGTTAGAGCAACTGGAGTTATCATATAAATGAAACAATCACCACCATGTAAACTAATATATTTGTTCAAACTGGAGTTATTTTTTAACTGGCCATTTACTCTGAACTAATGAACCATACTAAAAAAATTATCATCTCTTGATTGGCTTCTGCTTAAGAACTCCATAATGTAACTCAGATGATAGTATGTGAGTCTAGTGGATCAGATCACTAGTGAAATAATAGTTAGCATTCAAAATTCTCTTTGGCAGAATTTGGAAAGGGTAGACACTACTGCTGAGTTAATTAACAACTAATAATTTGCTTTTGCAGAGGGAAAATTGTGATTGCCACAACATTTGTAGGTAAAATAAAACAATCTCTCTGTTGAACTCACTGTTGTTGAATAGCCTTAATATCAGAACTATAATTCCTGAGCATGGTCTGATCTAAAAGCAATGCACAGGTAGCAGCAAAAGCTCAAAGCAATCTCCAACAACAAAGATATTTGTTGTAGCGTATTTAGCATTTTTGTGTCAAGTATTGATGCATCACAGATCATAGTTTGGAAAACTGAACCAGATATCAATCCTGGTGGAGTGAGTGCAAAGGCAAAAAACAACTGGCTTCCACACGATGACCACAACTAATCAAATACTGACAACTCACCTGCATAAGGAGGATACAAACTTCTTCCTCCTCGAGATAAGATATGCCTGTATCAAAACCAGAGAAGAAGAAATCAAAACACCCCACATGATGTGCAATTTGGATGTCATTTCATATTGTAGTTCCCAAAGACATTGACGTGTGAGAAGCCCAGATGAGTATCTTGATCACTCCTCAAACAAACAAAATCAAAGAAGAGCACCGTAGTTCTACCCTACATTCTTCACTCTGATAATCATTAACCACACAAGAGTTGAAGGCAGACAAGAGTTGTTGAAAATATGTCTCGAGTTTGAGTCTGTGAACGAAACCCGACTCGAAATTAGTTGTGGGGAGGTCTGAATATGTTAAATTGGATATTTCCTGATATGAAATTTGGAATCAGTGAAGAAAACAGGGAAAAGGAAATATACGAAATTAGCTCTCCTAATATGTGTTGGAGTTCGGCCACCGAAAAGTCTTAAATTGGAAAGTCCACATGGACTTTGAATTTGACCTTTCGGACATGCATGGAGTTTATATATATATATATATATATATATATGTTTCCTGTTGAAGTTGGACTTCTTGTCTAGAAGCGCCGAAATAGAGTGCTTGGCAGAGAGTTTCGTGGGTCTTTCTTTGACAAATTACATTCAAGAGTTCAAGTGTTCGTAACGATTAAATCTTGTGATAAGATTTGTATATAATTCTTTTGCGAGATTGAGAGATTATTTCGTGAGGAATTGTGGGGCTAAACACTGCGTGAGTTATTGGGTGTAATTGGGGCTTGGGAAACACCGAGAGTGTTTGAGTGACTCGAGTGTGGTTGTAATCTCCGTTGTATCGCTTGATCTATAGTGGAATTCCGTGCTGCTCTCCCCGTGGACGTAGGTCACTACGACCGAACCATGTAAATCTGATGTCCGATTTATTTTCTTATTCTGTCAATTTTATTATTCGATCGCTTGGCTTTCGCAACAAGAGTAAACATAAAGTTCTGTTCCAGAGTACTTTTCTTGATCCTAGAACATGCAAAAAGTATGCCCCCCAACCAAAAGTAAGAGCCCGAGCAATAACAGAAGATGCACTATTCCACCACAACGTGGATCTGCAAGAAGGCTGACAAAAGATATGTAATCATCGGGCAATCACTTCCTTCCTTCTTGCTCCTCTATAGGGTGGTAGGCAACCTGCTTAAATCACAACAATTTGTTATTCCCAATAACTTTATAAACTTAAGTAAGCCTCCTCAATCAATTGTGTCCACAATTTAAAAACTCAAGCACAAGAACCGTGTGTCATAATGTATGTGAGAGTGGTTGAGATGCAAAAGCAAATAAAACCATTTAGAGACCTCACTATCTCGTTTGCGGTCATGAATAACTTTGGTGACGTACATAGACTCGAGTGCAGGCTTGCAAGCCTTCATGAGCATCTCACCTCCCTGAATGGCATCAACCAAATATATAGCATCTGGAAAAGCTAGCTGCAGATTACACAATGCTTGAATCATCAGAAAAGAACTCCAATTTTCCAAAAAAATGAGTTCTTAGGTGGAACTATTAGAAACTCTACTCGATTACAAGCACGAAAACCTAAAGGACATTCAACATTCAATGAGCAGAAAGAGACTAAGGAAGCAACACAGTATGGAAAATAGGATTCAAATGCTTCTTAACAGCATATATGAACTGGACACATAAAATTATTCCTACAATGGACAAGACCTACCACATTACTTTATACCTCTATGGAAATGCAGACCCCTAGTGGCCCAAAGTATCATGGAACAAGTTGCTTTGACACGTACAAGTGAAAATGAAGTAAATCCCACTTGCTTGCTTAAAAGATAATCGAAACAAGATGAAGATTTACTTTCTATTACAAATACCTCACTTTGAGACAATCTACAATCTGTATATTCACACAAATTTTTTTTTCTTTTCTTTTATGTCAAGCAGCCTTCAAGGTAGTGTAAATTTAGTTAAAATCCTTTCGCGATGCATTGACAGAACAATGGCAAATCTCAATGCACCGCCGCCTTAGCCAGCTTCTCGAATAACTTTTCCCATCCCCTGTCCATAAGCACGGCTCCACAAGACTCAACACAAAACCACCAAGCCAAAGGCAGCGAGAATTAGCCAACCGGATTAAAAGCAAGCAACTTCAGCGCTCGACAAATTAGGTTTTTCACACACTCAAGAGCTCCATCGCGAGCAAATTTTCTCATGATTTGACACTATTATGTCACGTCACGTCACGTCATGTTTCCCTTCCTTCCGGCATTTCACTGGAATCAACATAGGCGAGGAAGACGAAGAAAATCAACCTCGCCACCCTACAAACGAAGGGTTCGACTCGAGAGAATGATCGACTCCCGAAATCGACACAGAGTGTTCAGCCAGATAGACACTTTCACGAGAATGGCGGAATTCGGAGGATGATCGGAAGGCGGGTTTACGGGGGTCCGGCGACAGAGGGACCTGCGTCTGGGCCGGCGGAGGAGGAGGTGTGGAAGACCCCAGCTTTCTCTCTCTCTTGCGAAGCTGATCAAATCTCTTGCTTCGAAAAGCTCGTTTTCGAAGCTCGGCTGGGTACTTGCTCCAGTTGAGCGACGGGTCCTATAGGGGCGAGTAGCCAGCCCCGGAGGTGTAAAGCGGGTCGGGTCTGGGTCTTGGCAAGGACCAGCCGAGGCGTCGAGGACGGCGACGATGTCGACAGGGAGTTCGACTTCGCCTCTCTTCTGGGTCGTCCGGCTAAAACCATGACTCGCGTCAGTCTCTCTCTCCGATGACCTTTTCTTCAGAGGGAAGCTCGTGCCATCAGCCCTCCGACCCCGACTCCACTCCACCAAGCCTCCATCGTTTTCCAGCGGCGCATTCGGCGATGGTCATCCAGAGATGATCCTTAGATTTTGCGGGACGAAGAGAGGGAGGTGCGAAGCGTGAGGTCTGAAATTTTGAAATAAAGAAAGAGAGAGGGTGGGGAGAAGAGGACGGAAATGAAAAGAGACAGAGAGCGCGCGTTTGAAAAACCTATTTTTTCTTCTTTCTTTTTTCCACGTCACTTGACACATGTCAGCTTCTTAATGGAACAGATACGCCACGTAGGACAATGACGTGGCAGTATCATACCACTGAATATTTTCTCCTAAAGGTGGCCTTCTCATTGCCGAAGCCACAGGAGTCTCTGACACTGCACAAGGGTAACCAATCTCACTTGTACAGCCAATAGACTTTGCCAAGCATGTGAGGTTCAGCTTTCTTCCCCAAGCTCGAGTTTAACTTCCTGCACCCGTTTCTTTAGGTATCCAGGTACACCTGGCATATGGACAAATGAGCAAGTCGAGGCTTGGAAACCCATTGTAGATGCTGTTCATGCCAAAGGTGGTATCTTCGTTTGTCAGATCTGGCATGTGGGGAGGTCCTCAAATGCAGGTCTGTTTGTGTTCCATTTCCTATATAAATATTGTTTTTAAGTAATTGGCGCCAAAGAAATGCTCCATTTGATTTTCAACTTGATGCAAATTGGCTGTGATTTTCAACTGAAATAGTTTGAACCCCTGCTTAGAACTTTTAGACATGCAAGATAAGTGATGACGTCTATACACAATGAGGAGAAAAAAGTTTCCATAGTCCTGCTGACAATACTTTTGTGCAAACGATATGTTGTCTGCTTGAGCTTTGTTGCTGGTTTTATGTGCATCTTCGTGAAAATGAATGGGGGCTATGAGTTTTTATGACATATCAAGTCTTATCAGTTTTAGAAGTGATGTAGGTCGAATTCTTCTGGATGGATAGATGATTTTCCTTGAAAGAAAATGACTAGATGAGATGAAGCCAGTATATAATACTGGAACAGGAATTTTTTTCTAAGTGGCAATTAGCATGATCTCTCTATTTATTGCATCTGTATTTTCTCTGCAGGTTTTCAGCCAAATGGGCAAGCTCCAATCTCATCCTCTGACAAGCCATTGACTCCTCAACTTCGAAGTAATGGCTTTGATGTTGGTCAGTTCACGCCTCCAAGGCGACTAAGGACTGATGAAATTCCAAACATTGTCAATGACTTTAGACTTGCTGCAAGGAATGCAATGGAAGCTGGTATATCCTTTTCCATTTTCTATGTTTTTTTTGAAGTCAATAATGGGAGCTTTACTACGATGAGTTTGGTTATTACGGTGCGGTTTTTGTCATCTGAACCTGTGTAAGAGCACTGCCAGGAAAAAGAAAAGGCTGTATAAGAGACCAAAGAAAGTTTTAATCACATGACAATGATCTCCATATATCTAAAGCCTCAGCAGATCTGAATATAATGGCACGAGAAGTTCAAAAGTATGACAATAAATCACTCAATGTTTCTCTAGGTGGCGAAAAAATGAAGTAGCTGGTAACGACAAAAAGGAAACTATGTAGAAATACTAGCGGAAAATTTTTCACATCAGTTTTACATATTGTATTGTTGAGTTTGGTTTTAGAATCTACGTTTTGGTGCCTAACAATTTAAGAAGTGTGTGATTGCTGTCCCATACGTCTGATCATATTAGCTTCCATTAAATACCAACTCTTGCCTTATGATACTAACTCTGTGATGCCTATTTTGCATGCACGACATAGGTTTTGACGGTGTTGAAATACACGGTGCTCATGGCTACTTAATAGAACAATTCATGAAAGACCAGGTAAACGACAGAACGGACCGGTATGGAGGTTCTCTGGAGAATCGGTGTCGTTTCACTCTCGAGATCGTTGAGGCCATTGTTAATGAAATAGGCGCAGATAGAGTCGGGATCAGGCTTTCCCCTTTTGCAACCTACTCTGAAGCAGGAGACTCGAACCCCAAAGCACTAGGAAACTACATGGTCGAACAATTAAATAAGTATGGGATCCTTTACTGCCACATGGTTGAGCCGAGAATGAAGACCGTGGGCGAAATAAGCCAATGTCCGCACAGTCTCGTCCCGATGAGGAACCTGTTCAAGGGAACTTTCATTGCAGCCGGAGGTTATACCCGGGAAGATGGAAACGGTGCGGTGGCCGAGAACCGTGCTGATCTCGTTGCTTACGGCCGTTTGTTCTTGGCCAATCAAGATTTGCCTAAGAGGTTTGAGTTGGACGCAGCTCTGAATAAGTATAATAGAGAGACGTTCTACGTATCGGACCCGGTGATTGGGTACTCCGATTATCCATTCCTGGAGGACACGGCTTAAGTCACTGCCGGACATGACTTGGAATAAAATAGCTCATCCAGATCCTCAATTGTCTGCTCGCCTGTCCATTTTTAGATGTCATCATCATCATCATCATCATTATATGGCTTTATATAGAGAAAAAAAGCCACAAAAAATTGCAAATTATACCCACCGTGACATATTTGTGATAATAAATGTACCCTCTGCTTTGTTCGGTTAAATTTTACCATCAAATTGCTTGGTTGAATGATATGTGGCAATGATGGGTATATTAGTTATGTGGTTTTACCCTTCGTCTTTTATAGGTGCATGAGCTTTTGGTTTTTCGTGGTATTAATCCAATTTAACGGAAATTAACGAAGGGTAAATTTGTCACAAGAGTATTAGTTTTAGATTTTTTAGTGATATTAACCTATTTTTTTTGTAATATCAAAAATCCCAAACTTGTACCTATGTGTAGAATGGCCACGGGCCGGTTTTGGCCCGGGTCAAACCCGGGACCCGCCCGTTAACCGGGCCTGCGGTTCGGAACCGGAACAGGCCCGTGACCTACGGGCCCGGTTCCGGTTCCAACAATTTTGGAACCGGCCCGAAAATGCCGGTTCCGGGAACGGTTCCAAAAAAAAAAAACTAAAGATAAGTGGAGAAACTCTTTTTTTCCCCAAATTTGATTACAATGTACATTTTGATTACATTTTATATTGAATAATTAATTATTTCAAAATTTTATAATTTATTATTTTTTTATTTCATAATTTATTTTTTAAATTTTTACCGACCGGTTCATACATGGCCACGAACCGGAACCGGCCGGTTCCGAACCGTGGCCATGTCTACCTATGTGACATTTCAGTCAAAATAATATTGTTTTTATTTTACTTAAGCCAAGTGGGCACCATGTCAATACTATTTACTTTCTAAAGTCCATCTAGATAGATTTTTAACGGTTCTCATTGATAAACGGAAAGTAAATGTGTCACACAGGTATAAATTTGAGATTTTTGATGTTATAGAAATTTTTTTAGGGTAAATGTATCACGGTGAATATAATTTAGGGTTTTTTGGTAGCTTTCACCCATTTATATATCTATATATATATATGTGTGTGTGTGTCCATATAACATATTGTATTACTAAGAACCATCGCAACAAAGTTGTACATGATAATCCTGATATTTTCAATATAAAAAGAGGGAGGCTTCCGTTTCGAATTTGTTTGCTTGCGTACGAAATAATGGACTTTTTATGTTCGTACCCTTTTTGACCATAAAAAATGGGTCAATAATGTACCAAGTTTGAATTAATGCCCCTCTTGCGATATCCTCAAGATTTAACAAGTTCGTCTCCCGCTTTGATATGTTCGACATCGAATCTCGCGTTGTCTTTCAACATAGGTATAGGCATTTTTTCAAAAAATCACTTATTATGATAATGCTCTCGTCGAATCGTATCGTTATACATTCTGATCAAAAAAGGGAAAAAAAAGAAAGAATAAATGCTCGAAAGTGACGTTTGAATTCATGTCCTAAAGTGAAAAAATAAATGATATAATGATCACGAATCACAGAGAATATTTTGTCCATATTCATCCAGCTGCAAATTTTGGACAAAATTGCCTTTACTTTTTTTTTTTTTTTGGTCAGAACTAAAGGCTTCTCATTGATAACCAGAGACAGAGGAACCAGTAACGGGATCTCAAAACAAAATAGTTCAGTGAGGGCCCGCGGAGGACTAGTCAACCAGTATTGAGAGAGCTTTTTTTTTCCTGTAGGCCTTCGCTATTCAGTCCGTCACTCTATTTTTATTTCTATTACAATATTGGAGCTTAACATTAGAGAAAGAAAGAAGCAGCCCGCGAGCTTCGCAGATTAGGGCCCTCTGTTCCCACGGCAGTTTCTGTGAAGCTTCCACGTTGTTCACTAAGGCAAAGCAGTCTGACTGCGAAAATTCTGGCCGATCGGTGAGTTGGGACGTTATTTTAAACCAAATCACCCTTTATTTGGGACCGGTCTGGTCATGACTTCACTTCGAGCCTTAACGACGCACCTGCTCACGTAATCCTGGCAGTGTCTTCGAGACGAAATTGAATTAAACCAGTCAATGAATGCAGACACTCTTTCTCAAAAGTGGGAGTGGAGGAACCTTCTTCGTTGATGCTTTCATGGTGCCGTGCTCCTATAAAAAGGATCCAAATGACATGCTGATTGTCTCAATTTGCGACCACAACTTCTTTAGTCGAGGGAAAAAAGTGGAAGCTCAAGCTCAGGAACACCATCTTCACGACACGACCGCCACAGAGAGAGAGAGATTCAGCAACACCCACAACATGTCTGCCCAGGAAATGCCCACCCCTCCTCTCCTCACTCCCTACAAAATGGGAAGATTCGATCTTTCCCACAGGTTCCCATCTTCTTGTTCTTGAAAATTTCTCTTTCATATTCGATCTTGTTTCGTGCTTGCTCTTCATGCCATCTACTGTTTCACTCGGTTCGAGTTCCCGTGATTGATCTTTTCCATTAAGTGGGAAAGCTTTGTTGTTGTTATGGCGTGTCAACATTTGATCTTTACATTGGACGTTGTTGTGGGAAGTTGACGGGGTGTTTCAAATTGTGATTTTTCTAGCTGTCAAGGTTCTAATTCTTGACAGTTAGAACAAGTTCAACATGAAATGTATTCTCTGTCACAGAGACTTGGAAATTCAAGGTAACTTGAGCATGCATTTCAGTGATCAAATGAGCATACAGCTCCTAAATGTTTGAATGAATGTTATTGATGCTGCAAATAAATCATTTTTGTAATTTTTCCTCTTAGACTGGATGTGAGAATGATGGATCAATTTATCTGTCGTTTTACTTGCTTATGATTCCGCTGCTTCATTCTTTCCTAGAGCATAGGCTGCATTTACTGTAGTAATGGGTGATATTGAATCCATATGCTTCTCTGATCAAGCCTTACTCTAGTATGTCAATCGGGTTTTATTTTCATACATAGTACATGGAAATATTGGTTGCCGCATGCCTTGCCAAACCCTTTTTGAGTTTATCTTACTCTCTTATAGTTGTCCTTGTAATTTTGGTTTTCATAGAGCGCCTCTTCCCTTTACTCCCTGTACACTATCTGAAGCCATTTTGTTAAACTATAGAGAGCGACTTGCTTTTTTCATCTTAGTGCTTAAATCTCTCATTCCTGTATTCTTTTGCTTTTCCGGTGATGGGTTTTGAACCCCGACTCTTAGGCAGCATGCCTGAATGTGCTAAACATTAGGACCCTAGAATATGCCGGACCATCCCTTGAACTGAAAGGTCATTGCTTTAGACTGTTAAATGGTTTGACATGCTGAAACATAGCTAGTCGTCAAATTGCTAAGCTTTCGGCAATAAGTGGGAGTTGTTATACCCCAACTATAATGACTGAGTGCAGGTGCTTCAGTGGTGTTGCTTTATTGGTAGCGCAAACGGTTAGCAAACCATTGTTGATCTGTTAGAATAGCCAAAGGATCTAATGTTTTTTTATTTGATGCTATTCCAAAGATCAGGCAGAAACAGATCATCTAATAAACTGCCTTTGCGGTACTTGTATTTTCAGAGTTGTTCTAGCACCCTTGACCAGACAAAGATCTTACAAGAATGTTCCTCAGCCACATGCCATATTGTACTATTCCCAGAGAACCTCTAAAGGTGGCCTTCTCATTGCCGAAGCCACAGGAGTCTCTGACACTGCACAAGGGTAACCAATCTCACTTGTACAGCCAATAGACTTTGCCAAGCATGTGAGGTTCAGCTTTCTTCCCCAAGCTCGAGTTTAACTTCCTGCACCCGTTTCTTTAGGTATCCAGATACACCTGGCATATGGACAAAAGAGCAAGTCGAGGCTTGGAAACCCATTGTAGATGCTGTTCATGCCAAAGGTGGTATCTTCTTTTGTCAGATCTGGCATGTGGGGAGGGTCTCAAGTGCAGGTTTGTTTGTGTTCCATTTCCTATATAAATATTGTTTTTAAATAATTGGCGCAAAAGAAATGCTCAATTTGATTTTCAACTTGATGCAAATTGGCTGTGATTTTCAACTGAAATAGTTTGAACCCCTGCTTAGAACTTTTAGACATGCAAGATAAGTGATGACGTCTATACACAATGCGGAGAAAAAAATTTGCATAGTCCTGCTGACAATACTTTTGTGCAAACGATATGTTGTCTGCTTGAGCTTTGTTGCTGGTTTTATGTGCATCTTCGTGAAAATGAATGGGGGCTATGAGTTTTTATGACATATCAAGTCTTATCAGTTTTAGAAGTGATGTAGGTCGAATTCTTCTGGATGGATAGATGATTTTCCTTGAAAGAAAATGACTAGATGAGATGAAGCCAGTATATAATACTGGAACAGGAATTTTTTTCTAAGTGGCAATTAGCGTGATCTCTCTAGTTATTGCATCTGTATTTTCTCTGCAGGTTTTCAGCCAAATGGGCAAGCTCCAATCTCATCCTCTGACAAGCCATTGACTCCTCAACTTCGAAGTAATGGCATTGATGTTGGTCAGTTCACGCCTCCAAGGCGACTAAGGACTGATGAAATTCCAAACATTGTCAATGACTTTAGACTTGCTGCAAGGAATGCAATGGAAGCTGGTATATCCTTTTCCATTTTCTATGTTTTTTTTGAAGTCAATAATGGGAGCTTTACTACGATGAGTTTGGTTATTACGGTGCGGTTTTTGTCATCTGAACCTGTGTAAGAGCACGGCCAGGAAAAAGAAAAGGCTGTATAAGAGACCAAAGAAAGTTTTAATCACATGACAATGATCTCCATATATCTAAAGCCTCAGCAGATCTGAATATAATAGCACGAGAAGTTCAAAAGTATGACAATAAATCACTCAATGTTTCTCTAGGTGGCGAAAAAATGAAGTAGCTGGTAACGACAAAAAGGAAACTATGTAGAAATACTAGCGGAAAATTTTTCACATCAGTTTTACATATTGTATTGTTGAGTTTGGCTTTAGAATCTACATTTCGGTGCCTAACAATTTAAGAATTGTGCGATTGCTGTCCCATACGTCTGATCATATAAGCTTCCATTAAAT